TTTTTTTGTAGAATCAGAGTCTCACTTTATCACCCTTAGTAGAGTGCCTTGGCATCACACAGCTCACACTAACCTCCAACTCTTGCCTCAGCCTCCTGAGTAGTTGGGACCACAGGTGCCTGACACAATGCCCGGCTATTTTTTTGTTGCCGTTCGGCTGGGGCCGGGTTTGAACCTGCCACCCTGGGTATATGGGGCCAACATCCTACCCACTGAGCAACAGGCACTGCCTGACTTTTTGTGTTAAACTTTTCCAAAGTGGCTGCACCATTTTACATTCCCATTAGCAGTCTGAGGATTCCTTTTTCTCCACATCCTCAACACTTGTTATAGTCTTATCTCGTGTATGGCCATCCTGGGAGATTTGAAGTGGTATTATTGTGGGGTTTTGTCGAGGGTGGTATTTTGAAACAAGGGTAGTAGCATCACCATAGCTCACTGTAATCTACTTCTGGGCTCAAGCAGTCCTCTTGCTGAAGCAATAAAGAACTCTTAACTCACTAACGAAGAAGACAAATCAATTTGAAAGTGGGGAAAGGATCTGCCAGACATTTTGCCAAAGAAATGCAAATCACTAATCAGCACATTTAGGAAAATGCAAATCACAACCACCATGAGGCAGGCAAGGATGGTTCATGCCTGCAATCCCAGGTCTCTGGGAGGCTAAGGCAGGAGGATCCCTTGTGCTCAGGAGTTCAAGACCAGCCTGAGGTCAGGTGTGGTGGCTCATGCCTGTAATCCTAGCACTCTGGGAGGCCAAGGTTGGTGGGTTGCCTGAGCTTACAGGTAGGAGACCTGCCTGAGCCAGAGTGAGACCTTATTTCTAAAAATAGCAGGGCACTGTGGAGGGCACCTGTACTTTCAGCTACTCAGGAGGCCGAGTCAAAAGAATCACTTGAGCCCAAGAGTTTGAGGTTGCTGTGAGTTATGATGTCATAGCACTCTACCAAGGGCAACAAAATAAGACTCTGTCTCAAAAAAAAAAAAAAAAAACAGCCTGAGCAAGAGGCAGACTATCTCTACTAAAAATAAAACAATTAGCTGAGCATTGTGGTGGGCACCTATAGCCCCAGCTACTCTGGAGGCTGAGGCAAGGGGAATCACTGAGCTCAGGAGTTTGAGGTTGCTGTGAACTATGACGATGCCCCGGCACTCTACCTAGGGTGACAGAGTGAGGCTCTAAGAAAAAAAAAAATTTAACATTCTAAATTGTTTCTCCGTAAGTAAAGGGAAAACAATCCCGTTAAAATGATTTTGATATCTGCCTTATCTGTGGGAAAAGAGCCACAGCTTTGGAGTCATAGGCCTAAGTTGCCTTGGTGTTGTTTATAATTTTATGCAAATCATGTGATATCCTTGAGCTTTGGTTTTCCCTTCTGTAAAATGGGAAGATGATACTTCACAGAGTTGTAGGAAAGTACCAGTAAAGGCCATAAAAACAGACACAATGGATACCATATACTGAGTGCACTAATACTTGGTAGGTGCTCTAAAGTACAGGGCCTACTTAAATTTCATGGTCTAGGACATGTTTTGATTCCCATTTTAAAGCTAGAAATTGCCCAAGGTCAGCTGCATCTAACTCCAAAGGCCCTGTTCTTTCCATAGGCCCTACCTACACTGCACAGAAGCATGTGTGGTTTTTTTTTGAGACAGAGCCTCAAGCTGTCCCCCTGGGTAGAGTGCCATGGTATCTCAGCTCACAGCAACCTCCAACTCCTGGGCTCAAGCGAGTCTGCCTCTGCCTCCCAAGTAGCTGGGACCACAGGCGCCCACCACAATGCCCGGCTATTTTTTGGTTGCAGTCGTCATTGTTGTTTGGTGGTCCCGGGCTGGATTTGAACCCACCACCTTGGGTGTACATGGCTGGCGCCTTAGCCACTTGAGCCACAGGCGCCAAGCGAGCATGTGTGGTTTTAAAGTTCCTCTTGGCCTGTAATCCCAGAAACTCAGGAGGCTGAGGCAGGAGGATAGACTGACCCAGGGGTGTGTAGTGAGCTATGATCACTGCACTTTAGCCTGGGAGAGTGGAAAAAAGAAAAAAAGTTGCTCATGTTACCTGTAGTTGTATTCTATTTGCTGGCATAACAAATCACTTCAATCTCCCCTCCATGGCTTAACAGAGATATATTATCTTACAGCTCTATGGATGCAAGTCTGACACATACCTCACTGGGCCAAATCAAGGTGTCAGCAGGTCTGTGTTCCTCTGGAGGCCCTAGTTAGAGAGTCCT